GCCGTTAACTCATCAATCGTCATTTTGTGGTATCCCCGATTAATCAGTTTGCGACAAAATTACTGTCGCCTTTTGGTAGTAAACTACACTGAACCAAACTTCTAAGTGTTCACCTAACATTGTTTAAGTTATAAAGAACAAATGCATACAATAAATAATTTCTTTAATTCATGGTTAATGATGCTTATTTCAGTTCGACGTTGCGTAAATTTCATGTACGTATCTCGTCAGACTTTAAAGCGAAGTGTCAAGGACATGAAGAACCCTCAAAAAGAAAATTCACATAAAATAATCTCTATGGCGTAAGACCACCACTCTAATTACTGCAAGACATCCTTTTCTCATGGATCCTATGTACCCCTGAACAGAATGTTTGCCTATCTGCTGCCACACCTACTGCATGGATCTTTCTAAACCGTTGAAATTGTGTAAAGGAGGGGGGGGGGTTGACATTCCTTTTCAAAGTCCCAAATATGTTCAATGAGATTCAGAGCTGGGGATTTGGCAGGCCACTGCATCACACAGAAGCCTTTTGGTCAACACTAAGACCCTCCTTGGGCGTCTCTCACTTACGTGTACAACTTTAAGGATGATTCTGACTGTTTGAGATGATACTGGACTGCCATGAGCACCAATTTGTTGCCATTTTCGTACCATTGATGTTGCTGATTTAAATGTTTCTAAAGTGGTTCAGGACCATGTAACAATCTTTTAACTTGGTTGTTACGCAAAACCTTGGCCTCAGACGAAGATCCTGGTCACTTCCGGTTTGATTAAATTTTGTCCAAAGCTTTCAAATTGTGATAAATTGGCGATAAAAATGACGCACAACCTATAGAAAAATTTGTTTAAATGGATTTTATTCAGGTTGTTAATTTTTAAAAGTAATATGAAGGACAAATAAACACTAAAATAAAAGTGAGTGAAACGTGTCGTAAGGATGATCCAGATATCAACATTCCAACGGCTTTCCCTCCTTCCTCAATGGTCATTTTGCCCATGTTTTGTATTTTTAGTTAAACCAGTTGTTAAAAATTGATAATGGTTACTAAAAGAAGCTGATTACACAAAACACGTGCCGCGAAGTACAGATTTATTGTTTTTAAGCTTCGTCACGGGACATTGGTTTTCATCGGTGATAATTGATTTTCTTTCGACAATTGTTGAGAAGACTCATTGGTTATAATAATTTCAAAATATCATACCATTCTATCAAGTAGTTTTTAAATTAATACATTTATTAGAGTGAACACTTAGAAGTTTTGTTAAGTGTATTTATCGTCTCTGACATTAAACAGTCTTTAAAACAGGTTTCAATTTTTAAAAATGAATAAGGAGTTCGCGTCTTAATATATCATTCTATGTTTACTAGCATAGTATTTCTAGTCGATGAAAATAATAAGATATGTTTTGATTTCAAAAATGTCAAACAAATTAAACACTATAAAAATATCGTTCAATGGAAGATAAATCAAATGTCACATCCAATTTTTTTTTGATTTTGAAAATCACCCTTTAAATCTTGACATTTCACAGAACATCAATACCCTCAATTATCATCATTTAATTCAATAATACAAAAAATGATTTATAAAAAGCAATGTTTTGTTTTTGGTGTGAACCAATGAAAATATCATTGGTAAAAAAAGAAATCCTATTTTCTCATCCCTTATCCTTTAGTTTCTGCATTTGTATGTTACAAACTTTCACTTGATCTCAAATTAACAACAGATAATGATATGTTTAGATGTAGAACACGAGCAATAAATGTGATACTGTAACCCCTGCACTCTGATATGCAACACCCATCCGGATATTTACCAATTTCTCAATCTAATTAAAATTAGACTTGTATTTTCGCTCCTCAACGATACGCTTCATAGGAGTGAAAATACAAGTCTAATTTTAATTAGATTGCCAATTTCCCTGTTGCATTAGGATATGAAATGTAAAAAAGTCTTTATTTTTATTTTAAAAACCAAATCGCTTTCTTAAGTTCACAGAGATCAATAAATCTCGATTCATCATTGAAGTAATTCAATGATTCAACGACTTTGTTACTAATACACGCAATTATTTTTAGGAGCATCATGAAATGATTACTGATGAATACCGGGTATATATGTTGATACTAAACATAAACCCATGTCATAATATAACCTATTTTAATAACTATAAGTGTATCATGTTTTGATGTATATTTTCCTAGAAAATAACTTTCCGGATTATGCCTAGCAGAGCTAGATAACAAATCTTCCGCAATTTTATACTTTTTTAATTAAGTTACTGCGTCACTGAAATACACAGTGAGGAAAGTTAATTTCACTTTGATGTTAACAAGCTGAATCAATTTGACAGAAATTAGAAATGAAAGAATGAACAGGCTTTTCTAATCACCAAACTTGATAGAACCTAAGACAGCAACGAATGTCCTGAATCGACCTCATATGAATTCTTCTAAGATAGGGTAAAATGAAAGCAATATACTGGGATTTTTCAAAAAATAATAAAAAAAAAAAAGATAAATAGGCCATCTCAAATATAATTTGATAAAAATATCTGAAAGTTTTAGATTTATGTTTCGTCAAAATTGAATTAAGTTGATGCCTCCTTCAGCAGAAAATACACAAATAATTAAAATGCATTAAGGTTCCGCTAAAGGTAATTTTTTGTAGAAACAGTTAAACAGTGGTCAAATTTTGTGAATGATTTTAATTGTTGTGGCTTGGGAATTTCATCCCTGCAAACCATAGTTATGAAATTGATTAACAACAAAATGATTGACAGTCCTCGAAGTAAGATGTATTCTTTGTAACACCTGCTGTGGCCTTCAACTCGACATTTAGATATATCGACGACGCATTGTCAATTAACAATGGCTATTTCCATTCTTATGTCGATACGATATATCCTGGGGAGCTTGAGATAAAAGAAGACACATCTGTTTCATATTTGGATATTTTACTTGAAAAAGACGTTAATGGTAATCTAACAACCAAGCTTTATGATAAACGTGATCACTTTAACTTTTCAATCGTCAACTTCCCTTACTTATGCAGCAATATACCTTCATCACCTCCATACGGAGTATATATCTCTCAGTTGATTCGATACGCAAGAACATCCTACGTATGTACAATTTCTAAAACGAGGTAAATTATTGACAAACAAGTTGATGAAACAAGAATATCAGCTGTCTCGTTTAAAGTCATCATTTCGTAAGTTCTATGGTAGATACAATGACCTTGTCAGCAAATGCAATTTATCATTGAGTCAAATGCTGACTGACGTTTTCCATACAAATTGTTAGGCCATTATTTACACACTGAATTGTCGACGGATTTTTCCGTTATTTTCCGATCATGACAAGGAGCACACAGCGGTTGTGACCGGTCAGCAGGGGATGCTCACTCCTCCATGGCACCTGATCCCACCTGATGTTTGGAGGTCCGTGTTTGCTCTGCTCCTATTTTGTATTGTTTTGAAGGACTTTTGAGATTGAATACTGTTCGTTATCTCCATATATTTCATTAATGAATCAAAATACACTTTGTAATAGCTGCTTGAAAAATCCTTTAGTGCCAATGTGGCAAAATGATAATGTTTATTTTACATTCGTTTATGAAAGGTAAGATAGCATCAAAACTTCTTATAAATCAGTTATTTTGTTAAAGTAGACAATAATCTGATTTGAATATCACTAAAAGAAGGCGGTTATTTGTTAAATTTGGTGATACATTTATAGCTTATATGTTCAGAAAATTGAAATGCCAGCTTGCACTTCATTACCATTACCACACTAAATTACCACACCTGAGAGCACCTTATGTACGTTGGTTTAATTATATTCGAAAACGTTTTCAAACCTTTATCATCTGAATAATGTCTGTCATTTCTGATGATAACTTCAATCTTTAAAACATTGTCATAAAATATATACATAAGCAAAAAGAAATACCTAATACTATGGATTCGTTTTAATTCGTGGGGGTCGATTTTCAGGGGTACTTTGTTATGACGTAATTTGGTGGATAATCCATAAATAACCTTTACATACAGAAGATTCAAATAACCGATATGTAAACAATGTCATCGTTTGTGGGGATGAAAATTCATTGATAAGGATGACCCATGAAAACCATGAATGTCGGTCCCCCATAAGCATTGATGATCTTACTACGTGCAAACATAGCTATATTTTAGGATAGCATAAAAAGTTTAACATTGTCACAATATTTAACACATATTTAACAGACACTGGCGAGGAACTACACACATATTTGTTAAATTACATTTGAATTTTATTATCATATTTAATGATGATGATGATGATGATGATAATAATAATAATAATAATAATTATTATTATTATTATTATATAGTAATTATAATACAATACATTATATAATATATATAAAATTATCATTATTATAGGTATACAAAAAAGACTCGTCTCATTTTATTTAGTAAATGATGTCTTCTCAGAACTGGTGTGAACCATACAAATATACATTTCAAGCAGTGATATTTTTTTAATATTTTCACATTTGTCAAGTTATATTTCCCATCACTAGATAATATCACCGTAGAGGGTGTGGTTTCGTTTTTTTAAAAAGAATAAAGTTATGTAATTAGAAGTCTCTTGACCAATCAAATTCAAATAATAATGAAAGTACAGCATGTACAACGCGAAATACGATTATGACACAATTGGTTATTGTCTTCATTAATATACATGTTGAGGAAATAACCTTTGACCTGTGAGCTTTTTAGAAAAGAAAGAATTGAGTTAAACGAGACAAGTTCTAGAAAAATCCATAATATTTCTCAAATCTTGAAAAAGTCGATATTTCTTTTATTGTCAGTTCAAGTATCATTGTTCTCACACATGTTTCATTCATTTTGTGTCATCCCTTAACCCTTTCCAGAATCCTGATATGATTCGAATGAAGTCTTTGGAAAATTTAAAGATTCATATTTCGAAATATCTAGACTTTGATGTACTTCATTTATTGTTGAGTACGGTCTTCGTTTAGTGGTTTGTGCATAAATTGCGGCCGATTCAAATGATGATGCAGGTTCATAGTACACAGTACCGGCGTCTGGTAAGATTTCAATGTAATTTGATTGCTCCTTTATTTCTGCTATCTCCGCGGGGCAAAAGTAATGTTTGCTAGCCCTGTCTTGAAGTTTTCTTATTTTCTGTGATTTTTTATGCTTTGGGCATGATTCTGGGGAAAGGTATTTGTAATCATTTTCTTTTCTGTTAGGAAGGATACGATCTGCATGATCGTAGATATGAATGCCTTCAATAGGTCGATGTTCCATTTGTAGAATTGTGCTGTACCTTCGACTGTTATGCAAATAAGTTAATGAAGGATCTTCTTGAAGCCTGAATGAAATAAATAATTGAAGTTAAGTAAGGAAAAAAAAGCCTGATAAAATTTACGATTTATTATTGAAAATGTACCAAAAATCAAAATAATGTAATTTTAAAGAGATCAAATGTACCTTTTAATCTTCCGTCTCTGGACAAAAACAATAAACAGGAAAATAAATAAAAGGAAAAATAAGAATCCACTAACACACAGAAGAACTGGAATAAAGGCTGAAAAGAGGAAAGTTTTAATTACTGTTAAACAACCGATTTCATATCCTTATATCTAGGGTAATAAAGCAGAATTTAAGTTACTCACAATTTAAATGACTTGAAGACACTTCTTTCTTGACCTCTAATTCAGCAATACTTGACTGAATAGTAGTCTTCTTGTCATTGGAAATGGAAATAACTTCAGACTGTGTCTGATCAGGTGGATATTTATAAGTCTGAAATGTGCCTCTGACCGTTAAAGTTACTAAATTTGATTTTTGTTCCGTTCTTGTATATTTAGTTTTGCTTGAGACTTTCATTACTTTGGTGGAGACATGCAGAGTATTTTCCTTCCATAAAATGGGAATAAATGGCGACTTTGTTGTGAGAATTGTCAATGGGTTTGTATTTACCTCAGAAAGATTGTGTCCATAGGTTTGATTGAAATTATAAACTGTTCTTGTTGAAGAATTTACAGTAGGTTCTGTCGAAATGACAGTACTGTCTTTTATTGTTGGAAAAGTATTAAATTCAGACATATTTGAACCATTTGTAGGTCGTAAACGGTTTGCTGGAGACGGCGTAGAATTCTTAAAAATCACCATTTTCCTTGTTTTGCTGTTTGAAAATTTATCTTTAACGATTGCTTTTTTCCTTGCTGTCGTTAAGAATGGGGGTATTTTTGTTGTTTGCGCTACCGTTGGCGATGTTTTCGTTAGACGTGTTGTAGAAGAAATCGTACTTGGTGAGGTCTTTTGTGTTATTCCCGTTATTGAAGTTGGTAAAGTTTGTGCCGCTGTTGTCAATCTTTTTGGCAATATAGAAGGCATCGTCTTTTTTGTAGTAAAAACCACGTGTTTATACAATGCAACTGAATGAAAAGGTTACAAAATTTTATCATTTTTGTCTAAAAAACTGCAGTTTTTTCCTGTATGACAAGCATTTTGTTATTATATACATGTATAAAGAATATAATAATTCTTTTCTATAGACTTGAAATATGGTCGGGGGGGGGGGGGGGCTGACCTTTTAAAAAATAAGTGATATAATAATAAATGGATTTTAATTCCCAAATTAGTAATATAATACATGTAAATGGACTTTGATTTTGTAGAATAGAAAATCCTTCTAAGATACTTGGAACGAATGTACATGTCATGAATAAAAGCTGTAAACTGAAACCCGTTTTTTTCAGAGAATTTTTTGTCCACAAAAGTGATATAAATCAAATTGAAGAAAATTTCCTGATAACTCTTGCGAATCGGATTTCAAATAAATTTCTGGAAATGAGAGGCATTAATCTTATCTTAATACATGAAAAAATATAAAAGCGCTATAACTGCAAATTTAATATGTACCTGACCATTGCAGTTTAAATCCCCTAGCTGTGCCGAAGTCATCAGACTTGAATGAAACCAAAAGTCTTCTTCCATTGGCCAAGATATTGTGAATAGATCCTTCTCCGCATTGTTTGTACAAAGTGAATTTAGATTCATATTCTTCTATCTGTGAAGTAAAATTGTAACTATAATAGGCAAAATCCATGTTATGAGCTCTAGTAAATAAAGCTTTTCAATGCATGTTTCCCTTTCATGTTTCAAAATAACCATATCAACCTATCGTTAATTAACCAATTTATTAATCATTTTATTATAGCGAGCGCAGCGAGCGACGCGAAGCACCGCTAGTCACTGCGAGCTCTTAAAGCAACGCCCGGGCGATGAGAAAATTCGGACTTTGCACATTGATCCAAACGTTTTTTTCCACAGTAACCACTGGACCCACAATCCTTTGCGAATTGCATCTCGCCGTAAACTGCGTTCTCGCGGTAACAACAAAAGTTCAACAAAAAATAAAACTCACCTTGATTTAATGGATATTGCAGATAAATAGCTACATTAAACTTTTTTTTAATTAAAATTAGCACTGTTAATGAATGCTTCGGATTTGTAATGCATCTGTGCATTACATGCGTCATGTGACGTCAGAGTCTAGACGTACTACTTGCGGTTTGAAGAGACGGATCTAAATTGAAACTGAATAGGTATCTGCGCTCGCCCTAGCGGTCGCACCGTCATCATATTATGAAAAATGTTTGAATTAATTTCATCCTACATTGGAAAGTACAGACAAGGATTTGAAAACATCAAAAGCAACAATAACAGCAAGAGCAAACTGTCAACACGGCAGCGCCAAGTAAAACTTCTACTTCAGGATAAACTGATGCACTTCTACTAAAACTTCTACAAGATAAACTGATGCACATTTATACCGGAAGTCTTTTATTCATATGAATTATTATTTGGCAAGATGCACGTCAGTTTATAATTATGGGAAAAGAATGTATTTCAGTGTTTGGCAAAAGAACATTAATTTTACATATATTTACATTTACTCTGTTTTTCTACTAAATCAACAATGAAATTGATTTGAATGCCATTTTTGTGCATAGTCACGCGTAGAAATATACACGTAGAAACTTGCGCAAAAGTAACGTGACAATGAAGCTGACGAGATGGTAACGAAAATATAACAATATAGGGCAGTAAAAATTTAAATCCTCGGAATTTTTTTGTTGGTTTTAAACATTTCAAATGTAAATATAAGTAATGTTTTTCACTTTGTGAATGATATTGTTGTTAAATCACACAGACTTGCATGAAGGCATATTTTTCATGAAGCGCGCTATATGCCTATGTAACGAGGTTGTTTGATTTACACACCAATACCACTTACAAAACTAAAAAAAATTCCTCACTTATACATTCAGATTCATTTGTATTGTTTTAAAGTGACTTAATAGTTGTTTTCCCAAACCGTGCATAAATTGGTGTAAATGTGGGAATCAGCCTACTTCTGCCTGTACCAGACTCTTTTACATTCACAATACATTCTACTTTTAAACATGGACTTGTAACAAAGTCTGTTTCAAAAGTATATTTTTCGTAAGCACTTAGTCAAGGGTAATAAAGCGGAATATTTTCAGAAATTTAAGATTTAAAAACACGTAAATTTTGCAGTAGGGTTCTAACATTTTACATGAAGTTTGAAATAAAGTGTAAAGTTTATGACACTCTCACCGTCATATCATCTCAATTTTGCAAGTTAGACGTCATATGTTGGTAGTTCAGACACGTACAAGCACAAACTGCACTTTTATTTCTTGGGAAGCCTTTACCTACTGGCGTGTAAGATTATCAAAATTATCCGTACTTTTTAAAACACATGGGTCAACTGTCGAATTGGGTTCTCTGAAGGAGTTTTAGTGGGCCTAAATTATTTAGATTTTTAGATTTTCAGATAGAAAGAGCTTTGTTATCCTTGAGTAATAAAGGAAAGCATGCATTATGTATTAATTTTAACTTTAATACCCAAAGCATATAAATGTACTTTCGGATTTATGACTATTGAAATTACGTTGTTTTCAATGTATAAAATCTAAAGTATGCATGCTCAACTTCCTCCTGTGCGTTTATGAATAATATACATGTATAGTGATTTTCACTACAGGAAAATAATATTGATACAATGGCTTGAAAGAGTTTTGTAAAAAAATCAAGCACCAGATGAAAATTTTATAGTCGTAAGAACCGAAAATAACTCTCTTTTAATATTCTTATTTATTAATCAATTTTATTCTGTTTTCTGTTTTAAAGAAATGATCATGAGTTCAATTTAGCCATGTCATACTATTGGGAATGTGAACTGTAACATTCTTAATCACAAAAAAGTTCAGTCTTGCATTACACCATATTTCAAGCTGAAGTCTACACACTGTATTTCCAGCAGACATTCCTCAACTGTTGCTTAAAAACCTTTCAATTATAAACAAAACTCATAGTGCCTACATATTGAATATCTTAAATGAAATCCTCTCAAGTGTTCTTGCTCTTACGTTGAAAATAAAAATCTAAAAGCAATCATTTAAAAAGGTCTTAAACAATGAAAACCACGTGGCAACGCACTTGAAAATATTACGCACTTTGAAAAATTGTTCAAAGTGCGTAAAAATTTGGACAAAATCAACGCACTTTGAATTTTTTTTTCAAAGTGTGTTAAGAGTGTACATCTTTATTTTTTACCATGGAGACACTTAAGGAGGTTGGATCCTGCCATCAGAAGTAATGAGAATTTTGTATCAAGTATATTTTTAGAATTTATACACATAGCTTAATTAAAAATCAAAACAAAAGATGGGGGTCAATGCACTTCTTTTGGCGCTACAGAGCATTTAGTTTGACCTTTTTGCACTGTAAATACGTCTTACACATAAATCAATTTTTAAAGTTTTTCCTCTAATATTTTTTTATTCAAATAAATTATGGGAACAAACACAGTTTTATTTCATCTTGAATAGACACATTAAAATTTGTGACAACGAAAAAATTTTCAAATTACTCCGCATGTTCAATTATTTGACCTTTTTGCACTCAAAAAATTTCATTTTTCTGGCATTAAAAATTTAACAAGCAAAAAAATCATTTGAAAGTAATTACATTTTACTGAATTTAAAAAGAATGGTTAAAAGTATTTTATATATTCAGAAAAGAAAATAAAAAGTGGGGGTCTGTGATGTTAATTTTTAGATATTATTAAAATAGTGCTAATTTTAAGCTTAAAATAAGGAATTTTTTTTCTTGATTTTCACAACATATTTGCTATATTTATCAAATATAATGAAAGAATTCATGACAGTTTATTTGATATATAATTTAGGACCAGTATAAAACAGTTCACTACACAAAATAACTCTGTGTGCAGACTGCATGTAAAAATAGGAGTCCAAACTTAACATACTTTAAATACTTCGAAAGAGCAAAAAATGATCATTTTCTTCTAAAAAAACCTTCACCACAAAATATAGTTCCTCACTTAATGCTTTTGGTATGGAATTTTATCATGAAGTTTTAACTGAATATAGTTAATTGGAATTGTAGAATTCAAATTTATTGTAAGAATTAAAATTTGATGCAGAATTTTTGAAATATAGGTTAAAATATAAATCTGCTCAAACGCTCAGGAGCGAACCTCGTTAACACACTTTAACTGATTGATTGTATGTTGATTTATGTCCCATTCGAGAATCTTTCACTCATATAGAGACGTCACCATATACCGATGACGGGCTTCAAATTTTGACCTTTACTCGGCACTCAGGGGCATTGAGCAGTGAGAGATCT